AACTGTGATGATAGTGGATGATAGGCTGCTTTAGAATTGTAGTACAAGTAACTTGCACAGGTAAATTCTGATAACTGTTCAGAAAACAGGTAAATCAGATGATTAAGTTCTGATTCTGATCTGATAACTGTTCAGAAAACTGAAAACTGTTAATAACTGTAAAATAAAGGAATCAAATATCTGTGTTAAATCTGTTTAAATCCCAAACTATTCAATGGGAAATGTATAAAAGCCAAGTTCATTTTGGGAAATTGTCATATTTCAATCTGCACTTTGAAAGATCAATATCTCAATCATTGTTTGATTTATTACTGTACTTTTGTCACAGATATATATTGCCAAATCATAACTGATGTCATATATATATTAGTTAATCTTGTATTTTCTCTCAGTTTTTGTGTAAATTGTAACTTTTGTCAAATATTAGTTAATCTTGTATTTTCTCTCAGTTTTTGTGTAAATTGTAACTTTTGTCAAATATTACTTAATCTTGTATTTTCTCTCAGTTTTTATGTAAATTAGTTAATCTTGTATTTTCTCTCCGTTTTTATGTAAATTGTGTTTAATTTGAGTGATATTATTATCTGTATTGTTTGATAAAAGTACAGGATGGCTAACGCTCAGATCAACGTTAAGTTCATCACCAACAGAAGAGGCGGACAGAACCTTTCACATAATGGATTCATCTTCAGACAGATTCAAAGGAACGGCAGCAGGACATTCTGGAGATGTTCGACCTCAGGCTGCTCAGCATCACTCTCGACAATCGACAACATACCAGCTAACTTCGGAAGAAATCCACACACCCACGCCTCAGACCCAGCCAGTGTTGTAGCCAAACAGATCATGAACAAGATCACCAACAAATGCGTACAATCGGTCTAGGCTATTCCGTCCATCTTTGAGGAAGAGCTCAACCAACTCCGATACAACGACTGGGATGACACTCCCAAGGCCGTGGTCCAGCGACTACCAACATTCTACACAGCAAAACCGTCCATTTACCGTGCTCGCCGTGCTCTCCTCCACTACCAAAGACTTTGGCCGACATCACCTTGGATGGAAGATGGACAGAAGCATCTACAGGCGAATCATTTCTCGTCTTTGACGACGGTGAACAGAACAACAGGATGATCGCATTCGCTTCGTCGGAGAACCTGAACATGAGGTTACAGCATCTGCGCAACCGCTTCCGAACTGCACAGAAAACCGCAAACGAGACACCAGGGACACATCATCCGAGAATAAGTCGTGATACTGTGCTGAGGCGTTTGCGATCATACGGTATAAAACCTCAACGCGTTGCAGTGGGATTGCCACTTAACCGTCGACGACGTGACATCAGGCTTCAGTGGTTGCGACAACACCGTCCAGATGTGTTTCCTATGCAAAGATGGCGCCGTGTACTCTTCTCTGACGAGTCCAGATTTACGTTTTATCGCTCTGATGGACGTCGACGTGTTTTCAGACGCCGTGGTGAACGATACACCGACAACTGCATGTTGGAACGTGACAGATTTGGTGGTGGTAGCGTAATGGTATGGGGCGGTATTTGCGGTGGTCGCAAAATCCATTTAGTAGTCATTGAAGGCAATTTGACCGCTCAGCGGTACATAGACACTGTCATGCAACCTGTCGCGGTCCCTTTTGTTCGCCAGCATAACTTAATTTTTCAACACAACAATGCCAGATGTCATGTAGCGCGACTTGCAATGAATTTTCTACGCCAAAACAATGTGCAAACACTACATTGGCACCCTTACAGTCCCGATCTGTCACCAATAGAGCATGTCTGGGACTTGCTAGATCGTCGCATTCGAACGCGCCCAAATCCACCAGAGACTATACCAGCTTTGCGTCAAGCACTTCTAGAGGAGTGGCAGAACATCCCTGTGGCACAAATAAACCGCTTATTAAATTCTATGCATCGCAGGATTCGAGCTGCAACAAATGCAAACGGCGGGCATACTCGTTATTGAATTTGGAAAATTTCAGTGGCTACCCCATCTTGAGCCTTGACGTTTTTTATAGAATGGATGAGGGCAAAATGAGAAATCGACAGTGTTATTCCAAAGAATACATTTAAATCTTATATCAGGTGTTAAAACAACAAATTTCAATGAAGTAAGAAAATTCTTGCATAAAATCACATGTCAGTATATATATTTACATTTTAAATGGAAAAAAAATCGTAGCATTAATATTTCCAACTTACAGTTTACAAAGATCTTTGTATGTGGTCGTTTTGATACTGAAAGAAATATTCTCTCTCAGAATCTAAACGACTTAGATTTGCAGGTTCCTTGTGATTTGGATTTGCTTTTATTTTTTACGTGTTCAGCACTTTTTACAGTCCAGTAGCAGGTTTTGAGTATAAGGTTTCATGCTATTTTCAATATTTAAATCCGATGTAACTGATTTATCTCTCCCACCCACTCTTCTCTCCCTTACTTCCCCATCCCTTTCCTTCTCTCTCTCCCTCTCCCTTACTTCCACATCCCTTTCTTTCTCTCTCTCCCTCTCCCTTTCTTCCCCATCCCTTTCCTTCTCTCTCTCCCTCTCCCTTACTTCTCCATCCCTTTCCTTCTCTCTCTCACTCTCCCTTTCTTCCCCATCCCTTTCCTCCTCTCTCTCCCTCTCCCTTCCTTCTCTCCATCCCATCCCTTTCTCTCTCCCTCTCTCTCTCTCTCCTCTTCCCCATCCCTCCTCTCTCTCACTCTCTCCCTCCTTCTCTCTCTTCCCCATCCCTTTCCTTCTCCCTTCTCCCTCTCCCTTACCCCTCCCTTTCTTTCTCTCTCTCTCCTCCCCATACTTCTCCCTCTGCCTTTATTACAGATACCCGTCCTTCTTCTCTCTCTCCCTCTCCCTTTCTTCCCCATCCCTTTCCTTCTCTCTCTCCGTCTCCCTTAATTCCCCATCCCTTTCCTTCTCTCAATCCCCCTCCCTTACTTCCCCATCCCTTTCTTTCTCTCTCTCCCTCTCCCTTACTTCCCCATCCCTTTCCTTCTCTCTCTCCCTCTCCCATACTTCCCCAACCCTTTCCTTCTCTCTCTCCCATACTTCCCCATCCCTTTCCTTCTCTCTCTCTCTCCTCTCTCTCTTCCCATTCCTTTCTCTCTCTCTCTCTCCTCTCTCTCCCCATCTTTCCTTCTCTCATACTTCCCCATCCCTTTCCTTCTCTCTCTCCCTCTCCCTTACTTCCCCATCCCTTTCCTTCTCTCTCTCCCTCTCTCTTCTCTCTCTCCCTTCTTCCCTTCTCTCTCTCTCTCTCTCCCTCTCTCTCTCTCTCTCTCTCTCTCCCTTACTTCCCCATCCCCTTCTCTCTCTCTCTCTCCCTCTCATCCCTTTCCTTCTCTCTCTCTCCCTCTCCCTTACTTACCCATCCCTTTCCTTCTCTCTCCCCCTCTCCTCTCTCTCTCCCTCTCCCTTACTTCCCCATCCCTTCTCTCTCTCTCTCTCTCTCTCTCTCCCTCTCCCCCCTCCTCTCTCTCTCTCTCTCTCTCTCTCTCTCTCTCTCTCCCTCTCCCTTACTTCCCCATCCCTTTCCTTCTCTCTCTCCCTCTCCCTTACTTCCCCATCCCTTTCCTTCTCTCTCTCCCTCTCCCTTACTTCCCCATCCCTTTCCTTCTCTCTCTCTCTCCCTCTCCCTTACTTCCCCATCCCTTTCCTTCTCTCTCTCCCTCTCCCTTACTTCCCCATCCCTTTCCTTCTCTCTCTCCCTTACTTCTTCCCGTTTTCTCTCTCCTCTTCCTTACTTCCCCATCTTTCCTTCTCTCTCTCCCTCTCCTTTCTTCCCCATCCCTTTCCTTCTCTCTCTCCTCTCTCCCTTTCTTCCCCATCCCCCTTCTCTCTCTCTCTCTCTCTTTCCTCTCTCTCTCCCTCTCCCTTACTTCCCCATCCCTTTCCTTCTCTCTCTCCCTCTCCCTTACTTCCCCATCCCTTTCCTTCTCTCTCCCCCTCTCCCTTACTTCCCCATCCCTTTCCTTCTCCCTCTCCCTTACTTCCCCATCCCTTTCCTTCTCTCTCTCTCCCTCTCCCTTACTTCCCCATCCCTTTCCTTCTTCTCTCTCTCCCTCTCCCTTTCTTCCCCATCCCTTTCCTTCTCTCTCTCCCTCTCCCTTTCTTCCCCATCCCTTTCCTTCTCTCTCTCCCTCTCCCTTACTTCCCCATCCCTTTCCTTCTCTCTCTCTCTTACTTCCCCATCCCTTTCCTTCTCTCTCTCTCTCCCTCTCCCTTACTTCCCCATCCCTTTCCTTCTCTCTCTCCCTCTCCCTTACTTCCCCATCCCTTTCCTTCTCTCTCTCCCTCTCCCTTACTTCCCCATCCCTTTCCTTCTCTCTCTCCCTCTCCCTTACTTCCCCATCCCTTTCCTTCTCTCTCTCCCTCTCCCTTACTTCCCCATCCCTTTCCTTCTCTCTCTCTCTCTCCCTTACTTCATCCCTTTCCTCTCTCTCTCCCTCTCCCTTACTTCCCCTTCCCTTTCCTTCTCTCTCTCCCTCTCCCTTACTTCCCCATCCCTTTCCTTCTCTCTCTCCCTCTCCCTTACTTCCCCATCTCTTTCCTTCTCTCTCTCCCTCTCCCTTACTTCCCCATCCCTTTCCTTCTCTCTCTCTCCCTTACTTCCCTACTCTCTTTCTAGAAATAGTAATTTATTGTTGATTTGAAATACGTATTGTCATAATTGTATTATGTACATTGTATTTATTTGTTTGTATTTTGGAGATGGCGTTTTATAAGTTGAAATAACTTGTGCCCAATCCATTTCAAACTTTGTTGAATAAAAAAATGTTTAAACTTAAACTAAATTTAAACTCGGTGTTCCAACAGCGAGATATATGACGTCACTAGTATAACCAGGTGTCCAGATTATGTTAAATTATGACAATATAAATAATATTTCAATACATTTCAGTCGGAGTATTTATTTTGATGTCAGATAAATCGCTTACTCAGATATCTTGTAATATTTTACTTCGGTTCTGTATTTTCAGAAAGTGAAGATGTGGAAATTATACACGATATTATTTGTAGTAACTGTGTTTGCCGTGGGTTTAGTGTGCCAGTATATCTACACTGTACAGACAGTACCGATAACAACAATCACAAAAGTTAGTAACCACTCCAATGTCAGTGCGAACTTCTCTTCTGAAGAATCGCATAACACCAGTTCTCAGCACAACGTTCGGTATCCAGTCAGAACATGCAAGACAGCTTGGACTTACATAGACTTCAGTGGTGCCTTAACAACCAAAGAGTCGGCACGTGTAAAAACATGCATTGCGAATAAAGATCAGGAACTTTTGGAGTCAAGAAAAAAAGCAAAATCCCAGACGTCTATCAGATGGTCAACCCATTCGTACCTAAACCGCAGCAGCTTTTTGATAGAGGCAGGGGGACACAGAGGACTTGATGCGGAGCAATTCAACTCGCGGTACCATCCTGGTACTTACGTTGTCCTAGAACCAGTATTAAACTTCTATAAGGTGTTGAAGAACAAGTTTCGAGACTCTCCTAACATGGTAATTTACAACTATGGAATTGACACGGTCGATGGTAAGTTTTACGTCAACGAAGCTAAAAACGACGGTTCCTCTATATTTCTACAACATCAAAACAAAACCAAGAATGGAAAGGCAATAAAGATTATGAACGTCAGGAGTTTTTTTGAGAAATTCTCGGTGCGAAGTCGTGACGTGGACTTAATCACTCTAAACTGTGAGGGATGTGAGTTCGCAGTTCTCGACCTTCTTCTCTCTACAGACTACATACGTCACTTCCGGAATATCCAGTTCCAACCTCATATGTTACCGAGCATATGTTATCCCGTCAAAAGATACTGTTGGTATCAGGAACTTCTGCAAAAAACTCATAATATAACGTTCCAGTTCTTTTTTTTATGGGAAAGTTGGAGCCGAATGTAGTTTTTCAATCATTCAAACAAAGGTTTGGTTGCTGGTTTCAGCGCTTATACAATGTACTATAAACTAACTCTAAAATACTAAATACGTTCTGGTTCAATTATTTTTGAGGCAGGATTTTATTTTGATTGCACTAAACACATTTTGTCAGTTAAAATAGGAAGGCGTTGTAAAAATCTACATAAAAATTGATATAATTTGTTTAGATACTTGAGTGGTTGTTTGGAGAGGAGGTATTTTTAAATTGAAAGATTAATATTTTGTCACTAAAATGTATAAGAATAATAAAATTATGCTGCAGTTTGTAAACACTGTCTTGTGTTCTTCTTGCCACGTTTCCAAACAAATGTTCGGCATTTAACCAGGAAATTGGTAACGTGCATGCCTTTCATCTCGGCAATCGGATCTCCATTCTCCATCCAAGTCAGGTATGTATTACAAGGAGTCATACGGCTTATTCGTCCAAACTACAAGTATATACTATCACAAAATAATATCTAACGACATTCAAACCACATCCTTGGTACATCACTAGTGTAGACACATTATCTAAAGCATTTACTCTTTTCACCGATCGGGTGATAAAAAGTATGAAGTTACCTAACTGACCACGTGGGTTTTCCCCAAGATACTTCCTCCCAGATTTCCCTTTTTGTTCCCCTCTTCCCCCTCACAGTCCCCTAGGGGCCGCGACCCACCATTTATACAAAATTTGTTTTACTTTCCCCAGGGATGCTTCGATCCAAATCTGATCAAAACCCTGTAAGTCATTTACGACTAGTAGCACTTTTGGCCAGGTGAGCTTAAATAAAAAAAAACGTTATGTCCACAAGCTCCTGTCATTTCATAACACACAGGAAATTGAATATTTGCCAACAAGTTATAATTGGCAATAATAAACCTTTATGTCCACAAGCTCCTGTCATTTCATAACACACAGGAAATTGAATATTTGCCAACAAGTTATAATTGGCAATAATAAACCTTTATGTCCACAAGCTCATGTGATTTCATAACACACAGGAAACTGAATATTTGCCAAGATATAATTGGCAATAATAAACATTCCCGAACTGGAGATCAACCTGTTACTGCAGAGCTGTTATTGCACTTTAGTACTAATAAATCATTAACTTTCATAGTGGATTTATCTTCATGAATATCAACATCATAACAACTAAATATCATTTTTATATAAAATTATAATAGTATTGTTTCAGATTCAATCTTGATGGTGAAAAGCTTCTTTAGAAACGTCATAATCAGCCATGCAATTTCTTGAAGTCTTGAAATTTGAGAGCTACAGTATTTGACAACATAATATCAAATTTAGGGTAATAGTATCACTGAAAGTATGTGATGAACTGCTCTGTAGATGAGTACTTTTTAATATCATCAATAATGGGTAAAAACAAGCTGAATCAAACAAAAAGAAAATTCTAACTAAACCAACTAAACACAAACCAAATTTATTGCTAAAAATAGATGATGAGAACAGCAATATGTCATTTATAATGGTAGATCAATACAAACACATGTATTCATCACATAACATGAAAGAGCTTAAACTGTGTCTATGTATCTAAATTTAGTACTCTCCAGTTCCTACCATCTTTATCACATTTTGCAACTGTTTAGTATACACAATTACATTTCTCCAACTTAAATAAATATGCAAATATTCAAACTTCAAACACATGACAATTCCAAAATGACTATGACTTACTGGACCAAAATCATTATTTCTACTCTCAGCAAATACATTGGTCATAATTTTTTCACAATTACACATAAACTTTTATCAACTATTTTTCATTTCCAAATATTTAGAATCTACTAAATTACCTCCCTTCTCACATTAAAGACAATTTGATATGACATAATTTCAATTATAACATTAGTTTGTCCTAAATGTCATGTTAAGATACAAGACAAATTGGACAAGACTAAAAAAACAAATTTTACTGTAATATTTTTTAGGTAATTCCAAAATTGCTTTTTTAAATACCAGAACATATATATCTTATTTTAATGTATAAGATTAAGTAAGCAGAAATTGTTTTCACTGCTACAGGGATACAGAACATCAGAGTACTACAGACACAAGCTGGATATATACCAGTAAATCCATATAAACATCTATGTTGAATTATTTGATTTCATGCTCAAAGTCTCACACTGATTTAGCATTGTATTACACTTAAATTATTTCTTCTAAAACTTTTTCTCTTGCGATAAATCAAAATATCAGCTATGAGTTCTATTCTAACCATGACATTGGTTTTTAAAAAATCTGGGGTTATATCACATACCCTGTTGGAAAAGTTAAATTTGTTCTGTGTTTCATACTAAATAGTAAACATCTGTGTAGCATTAAATAAACACTTTGTCATACTCGACAGATAACATCACAAAACACTGTCAAAACACCATACTGGCAAATTTGGGATTTTTTTCCTATTTTTTCTTTCTTTTTTTTTTTTAAAAAAGATTTTCATACAAACTTTACAATATTTGTGTTATACTCATATATGAACAATGAAATATCAAATAATAATAACATCAATAACATTACAAACCATCACTGTCACGACACATTTAGATAATTAATAAGCACACTTGTCAACAGACATCAAAACACTCTCCACAATGTACTTCTAACAAATACCACTATAGGCACTGCAGCCCTAGACTCGCACATCACTAGGTCTTGGATTTACACCAGGCCCTTAGGTCATTAACATGTAACACATATAGGCCATCGAGTTAGTGACATCATATTAGGTCCTGGATTCATTGGATCACATTATATATACACCAGGCTCTGAAGCTGATGACATGTACCACAAAGTCCTTTAGTCAGCGACATCAGATTAGGCTGTGTGGTTTATGACTCCATTACACCAGGTCCTGGAGTCACAGACATGCAACACCAGGTCCTGGAGTCACTGACATCACATTAGGTCCTGAAGTCTAGAACTCACATTACACCAGGCCTGGAGTCATTGATATGCAACACTAGGCCCTGTAGACATTAATATTACATTAGGCCCTGAAGTCTTTGACTCACACTACACCAGGTCCTGGATTCACTAACATGCAACACCAGGTCCTAGAGTCAATGACATCACATTAGGCCCTGAAGTCTTTGATTCACATTACACCAGGTCCTGGAGTCACTGACATGCAACACCAGGTCCTAGAGTCAATGACATCACATTAGGCCCTGAAGTCTAGAACTCACATTACACCAGGTCCTGGAGTCACTGACATGCAACACCAGGTCCTAGAGTCAATGACATCACATTAGGCCCTGAAGTCTAGAACTCACATTACACCAGGTCCTGGAGTCACTGACATGCAACACTCGGTCCTACAGTCAGCGACATTACATAAGGCCCTGAAGTCTTTGACTCACGTTATACCAGGGCCTGAAGTCACTGACATGCAACACTAGGCCCTGTAGACACTGACATTACATCAGGCCCCAGAGTCATGGATTAATATACCTTTATCACAAGGACCATGGCTGCTCATATGAAGTCATGTTTATTTCACATAATGAAATGCTTTCTTACAGAGGAACAACAAAAACAAATCCTGAAAATTATGTGAACATGGGAACAGAATATAATATTAATATCTTTTGATAATATTGCATTTGTAGAATTTGATAAAACAGGTAACATGTATCTGCTTTTGAGAATTTTCATCCTACATTATGGTAGGGTGTTTGGCCCAAAAGGATAAAGTTAATGTATGTTTCAGATCAAGCAGAGGTGGGACTTTTTTTTAATTCTTCATTTTACATATTATTAGTTAAGGAAATAATTCATCACATTCTTAACATGCCTAATGTCTGGAGATTATCACATTATTTTTATACTCAATCCACTAGCATATGGCCATCACATGACTATCATATGGCTATCACATGACTATCAGATGACTATCACATGACTATGAAATGCAGTAGAATGAATATCACCTTTAAACTGGATCTATTTCAACAAGTTCTATCTAGGCCAAAACATATACATACTTCCTGTTTTCTTTCCTTTTTACAAAATTTATTTTTTATCTTACAATCTTCAGTCATTAATCAAGAGAACTTGTACTTGTATGGGTCCTCACAGAATTGTTACACACAACAAAATAATCAACAATAGTTTTATCACAGTAAAACCTGAAACCTGGTATGTAATATATAGTTTCAGCATTTAAATGGCAATCTAAGAGAACTGTTAAAGCCATACAACATAATACTACCTTGTCATTAATCATCTTCCTTTACAACCTATCAGCTCGAGGATCATAAAATGATCTTACAATTAATTTTCTGCTGAGCCATTCACATATGACGTCTCATTTTATGTCATTATCTGTGACTGGCCAAGTCAACTCAGGACAATTTACTTAAAATCATTTGATGATCCTTGACCCGGATCAATATTTAAACGAAATGATGATACAGCCAGTTCTCACATAAAATAAATACAGCAAGTTTTGTTATAATCAACGACAGTAATACATCATTTTTTTATTAAATAATTGTTAAATATTAAAACAAATGTAATACACTAAAGTTTAATTACATATCTACTGAATCTTAAAATAAACACAGACACATAGTACACCTGATGAAATGGCAATACTTTCAGTACTCATTTTATGTAATGATACAAGATACTACATTATCTCTCTGAAGTCAAAGCTCAATTTCAAAATCAAAACAGGAGTGACAGTACATAACACTTACTGCTGTTCAAAGGAATTAACAAGCATCCGCCCAAATTCAATACCTAATAAGTTTAGGATCTGATAATTAACTATGGGTTGAACTTTTTTTTTATACATATTAATATTTCATATCATAATTCAGTTAAAATTATCTCATTATACTGTAAACAAACTGCATGATTTAAAATTTGTATAGTATCATTGAAAATTTTCAATCAAAGTAGAAACTTTTTTTTCGTTATTTAGTTTTCCATAAATTTTTTTTTCATCCTTGAAAGAGCGAAAAAAAGAAACCCCATAAAAACATTTACAGTAAGACTTTAAATACTACTTTGATTAAGTATAACAATAAACTGCTGTACAGTGACAGTCTAACAGATGTTCTGATAGCGGCCCTTCCACATTTTAATCCTACATATCCAAACATAAGTAAATTCCAAATGTTATTATAAATTTTCGGATCCCAGTGCTATTACAGATACAAAATTTAGCACCTATATCCTAAAGCTATTGTAAACGTATAACCTGATGATGTTTTCAATTTGAACACATATATCCCAATACTTTTATAAATTTTAGAACATGTATCTTTATATAACTATAAACTCAAACACATTTATCCTAATATTTTTTATTTCAGCATATATCCCAATGCTTCTTCAAATTTTAACTACCGTAAATTTAGGATTTAGCCAATTCCGAAATTCTAGCAGATACTGTAAATTATTTGCATTTCACACGAAATTTATTTGCGTGTTAAAATGCGAAGAGTGTCATTCGCAATTCAAATCCCTTGCAATAACTTGTACAAAAATAAGTTTTGCTGACTTCCATGCTGAGTCAGTTACCAATATTAGAGTCCATACATCTAATAGGCCATCATCTGTAAAGTTAAAGTAATTTCCAGATCTAAGTGACTTACAATACATCCTAAGGCTATTACAATTTTCAAGTAAATGTTTTACTTACAGGTATCACCCATTGAATTTAAATGATTATTTGCTTAGAGTAATATAAAGGAAAGGAAATTGAACCATGGATAAAAGTGATTCACTTTGAAGTCCTGATGTCAAATAGATGTTTCATTGGATTAATCTAAGCATTAACAGTGATAAACATAGTGCGTTAGATAATTTTGCGTGAAAATTACATCCATTTTACTTTCTATTTTGAGCAAAAAGACAAAAGTTTTAACAATGTAAAATACACTACCTTTACAGTATCTAAACCTAAGGAAATTGAAATAACTAGATTGACAACCTGTTTGGACACTGTGACAAAGATATTCATAATATTTGAGCCACAGCAGCAAAATTGTGTTAGGAATACATGATAACTATTATGATTGATTATTGTTTGATGACCTGTCAACAGTCAGGGTCACTTTGGGTCAAAGAATATTAAGGAGTTTAACAGTCACCTTGTCATCAGTGAAACCCAAATGACAGATGAATAATACTATTCCGTATAGGTTTGAAGACTTTGAAGATTTCTATAAAAAGATTCACTGATGATGGCACTAGAGGTTATGTTATTCCTTCAGGGAAATAATTAAAAACAACACAAATATGTGGATAGTTCTTTTGAGACAGACAAAAAACATTTGAAAATACAACAGAGTAATCTCCCTTCCTGACAATAAGTGATGTGACTGAGTAATCTCCCTTCCTGACAATAGGCGACTAAGTAATTTCTTTTCCTGGCAATAGGTGATGGACAATATCCTATTATTAGTTGGCAAGAGGCAAATTCACTTTGTGATTAACCAGACAAAGACCATGGTAACTTCAACATGATTTCATTATCTACCATACATCATTATATTTCAGGACTATGCAAAAAGCATATTGACAGTTCCATCAATCACATGACTTTCACCATAAAAAGACCTTTGAAACGATGAATAGGACATTTATCAAAACAGTAAAAAAAACTGCTTCAAGTGACTTTCACATATCAACTTCTAGCAGAAAATCCTAAAACTATCTGACATAAACATGTCATAAAAATGTAGCACAACCTTAAAAAATATGACAGATAAAATAACTCAAGCCTTTGGATGTGCATGGTCCTGTATCATGATATTTGTGTTCCTCATCATTAAATCATATAAATAATTAGTTTGTACAATTTATTGGAACTTGTCAAGTTAAAGCATATTCTTGCATTTAAAGAACACTATAGCATTTTAATATCATATACAAAAATTAATGATTCAAGCATTAAAATTTCATAGCAGTAAATGAATACATTTCCACAGGAGAAAAAAACCAAGATAAGAGTAGCCTAGCTAATTTACCACTTATTTCTCCAGACGACGACACAGATTTTATTGATCAAAAAACCCTGTAAACCTGAAATTTGTCCACACTTACATGTGACCTTCACATTGCATGTTGATATATCTACATGATACATGATATATATATATGATGCTAGGTATCACAACATCAAATTCATTCTGGTATAGGTCCAGTTGTGAATGAAAAATACACAAAACCTTTGCCAAAACAACAAAACATTTTTTCTTCATCTGAGTATTCCAAACAAGTCAATCACAAGAGGCCTATTGGCATTTGTGGTCACCTGAATCCTAACATAATGACAATTGTTTTTGTTGACACTCAATATGGGGATTATAATGTTAACACAGACAATCTTTTAGTACACTTGTATTACCAATATAAAGAAAATATACTGGCAAATTGATTTTTTCTTTTAAAACATATTATTTCCCATCCCAGGAAAGCTTTATTAATGTACAGCAACTACGTCTGGAAAAGATTTTCGATATAGAAGCAAATTTCACCCTTTGTACCCCAACCTTCAGACTCCTGGAGTGGGGTCTCTATCTTATTTGTAAAATATGCAAGCTGCTATCCTATGCTCATAACTCCAACCAAGATTTAATTATTTCCAACTTTAACTGTCATGAAATTTACCCCCTCCCTAAGTCAGGGAATATGCAATTTTAACAAAGTAACTTTAGTTGGGACCTTTCAATCTGTGGTAGCTTTTGATTCTACAGTATCCTGGTCTAGAGAAGAAGATTATTGAAACATAAGCAAATTTCATGCTTTTTGACACCCACATCCCCCTTTCAAACCCCTATGAGATTACAATTTTACTTTGTGACTGGCCACGGAAACTTTCAGTGAAATTTTATTGGTATCACTGCAGCAGTTTTCAGAAATGTGAGAATGTTACTGGAGATGACAGAAAAAGATGGATCAGAAAAGGTCACTGAGCTTTGCTCTGATTACCAAATAAAACATTGAACAGTCTTGATATATATGATTAAATAGAATCAGGAAGCATGTGCAGCTAGACTACACAATGTTTTTATAATCTTTCTTCATAGTTTGCTAAAATTTGACCCAATAAATGCAAATTACATCATGTAAAGCTAGACTTAGTATGTAATTGGTGGGCTGAAAATTGCAATATAAATTAAAGATGTTGTTTTTGATAATAATGGTAAAATGTAAAACATTCTGAGTTTCATTAATTACAACATAAAGTCATATATGAACATGTGAAAATGTGGAAAAAAATGAACTTTGAAACTGCATAATTTGAAAAAGTAAAATGTAATCATAATCGGCAAGTAATAAACTTGAAAAACTTTTCAAGACATACAAACTTAAATTGTTCACAATATAAATAAAAACATATCCTCACATTTGGCACTCTGCCAATCCTTGGCCCCTTTACAAATACACTACAAAAGAGAGTTTTCTAGTAATAAGAAATTTACGCCTTGGAAAAGCACTAAATTGAACAGAACAATAAAAAAAAAAACATTAAACACAATGATGCACAACAAATTATAATGTCTAGTTAAAAAAATTCCCCTTTGAATGAATCAGAAAATTGTACTGGTTCTAATAATTGTACAAGTGAAAGGACACAGATTCAAGGAAGTAGAACAGAAAGAAGGAAAAGAAGAAAGACAAAGGAAGTTATCTGAAAAAGCTACAATACTGACTAATTCTTGTTGATGAGAAAAAAATCCTCATTACACTTATCTGGTTTAAAAACCCACAATTTTGAAACCATAGAAGTTGAAGATCAAGGAAATGACTTTTCAAGTGAATGAATACTAGTAAATAAGTCTATATCAATGATGTGTTAAAGGCTATCTCTAAAATGAGCAGAGTTGTTATAGTTATAAGCTACGAGCACCTTTCTAAAGATGAAGGAATTGTACACTAATGATAAATGAGTGTGATTGGTATTTCTAAGAAAATGGGACCAGTAAATCAAAAAAGGAATAAGACTGAATTTTTCCACCTACTTTTTTACACCAATATTGGTGAATGAAAAAGTATATGGGTATCTACTAGAACTTGTACTGTGAGTAGTCGTAAATTCTCTTCATGACAATTATCTGGTGAAAACAAACATTTGGATGTTATTGTTATTTCATACCAACAACTTAGTTTTTAAACTTGATTCAACCTTTTTGATCAACTACCTCATGATATTGCTTCATTTCACCTGTGGAAAATAGTTATAAATATAAAGTATAAATATATATTATATTATATGTGTATAAAACTTTCACACAAAGAATGAATTTCCATGTGAGCTATCTTCTCCATTACTTCGTGTCCGACCAGAGTTTACTGGTCCAGATTCCACTGTCAAGTCGAGCTCCATAATTGGTGCAGGACCTTCTGCCGCAGTTACCACATCATCAACACCAAATACTGTTTCAATTCTACGTGGACGACTGCGATGACTTTGGATCTGACCCTGACGTTCTGAAGGACCACGATCAATGTCACTCTGTCCAGGTCGGAAATCAATGAGTGTTTCCCGGGGACCCACTCTAGGTCTTTGGTCGTTATTGACTTCTGGTGTTTCCACGTCGGTAACACATAACGTATCTGATACTTCTTCTGCATTGTCATTGGCACTTTGTAATTGTGAATTATATGTGATATCTGTTGGTAGAAAGACTTCCTCTGAATTCTTCACACATGATGAGAACAAATTTGACCGACTGATTTCGGTTGCATCCTCACCTATATCCTCTGTGAAAAATCGTTTTGATCCCTTTAATTCCTCTTTAACTGTTTTATGTAAAACTGATTGTGACCGATATGTATCACAAGTATCAAACTGTTCTGTCAAGGAGTCAGGGCTGTCCTGTTCCATATGTTTTGCTACATACTGTTTCAGGGAGCTGGTAGGTAGAAGTTCATCCAAATTGTCAAAATCTAACTCAAGTGGTCTTTCTGGAGTAGCACCATCTTCCTCTAGGGAAGAATCAGTTGTATCTGTTACATGAGTATCAACCATACGTTTCATCTCAGCAGAAATATGGACAAGGTTTTCTGCCATCTGAGATAGAGACATCTCTCCAGAGTCTTCTGATCCCTGTGGACATTTAGTGTGATCATAAAGAGATGTCAATACCTTTGTTTCTCCTTTAAGACTGGATGTGGAGGAAGTCATTTCCCAGGACTGTGTGCTACCACGACCTCTAACTCCAGACGAGGCTTGACTATCGTGTTTATCACTAGCATTTGAGAAAAGGTTTGTAGGATATGCCCAGTTCTGTTGTTGACTGGCCTGTAAATTGTCAGGGCTGATCAGAACAAAAACATTATCCTCATCTTCACCTGGTGTGTTAGCAGCCAGTATGCCTCTGAGCGATGGCCTCTCTTGCTTTTGGTCACGAAACAGACTCAAATTTTTTCCTTGAAAGTCACGTGTCTTATCTGTTTCACCTGTGTTGATGTTGGACACTGACAAGTCCTTGATAATACCAAAGCACCCCATGCTCTGATGGGTTTGCTGTGTGTTTGGTGGTTGTTGTTGGTATGCACAAGGGGGTTGGGATAAAGTAACTGGCATGTGACTCGACTGATTTGGCGATGTGTACACATTGGGGATTGTTGCTACACAATCACTGGGAGAATCTGACTCGGATGACAGTGTGGACAGAGAAGACGGTGGTGCTCTACACCCAACACTACAATCATCATGGAGAAGGTCTTCCACACTTTTGTTTGGGACTCGACTGACCACTGTAGAGGTGGTCTCATCGAACCGACTCTGACTCTTCTTGCGGCGATGCTGAGCATAGGGAGAAAGCGACTCCTGAGGAGATAAGTGACGTGGCTGCTGCGGTGACACAGGGGCTGGTAGCGTGGCACTTTTGGGCAACATTAATTTGGCATCTGGAGACAAATCTGAAGTGGAAATTGAATGATTTATAATGTCAACCAATAACTGATCGGGCGACTTTTAACTTACTGAAGATGTGTTTCCATTTACTAGATTTCAATTATTTTAAATTTCTTAGAATGAAAAGGATTAAAACCAATTTTTTTTCACAATACAGGATACTGTTAAGATGAACCATTATACATCATTTCTAAAAAAAGATATCACAATTATCAAAATATATAAGTAAAATCTCATATTTTGTATTTAGCAAAATAAGAATATGAGTTATATCCAAAACCTTAATGTCATTATGCCCAAAGCCTATCACAGATTATATGTTTAAATTACAGAAGTGCATGTTGCCCTAATATGATATCATTTGAATCTAACAAATTTTTGACAAGTTAGACATGTATAGGCTACCTGGATCATTTGTTTTTATGGATCACTCATCCTTGTTAGAAACGATATATATACTCATTCTGTATCTTGATACCAAATCAGTATTCAGAAGCCACCCTCTGCACATATCACACATACGCTAATAAACAACAAGACTACATTACACTGGTGGACTTCATCCTTCATCATCCTTCAACAATTTTTTTTTTCTTTCTACAGCTGTTGTGCACTATTTTCAAAAATATAATTAAACTGCCAAAAGAAGCAGATACATTGAAAATAAATTAAGGGAGGCAACCAACAAATGCTGGTGGATGTAAAATCCAAGGAACAATCACAATAAAAAAAGCTGATTTTGTTTTGCTTCTAATTTAAACATCAAAGACATAAATAAGTGTTTCCAAGACATTAATGCCAATTACCAATACTGGGAAGACATGAGACAAGAGGTCCATAGGGCTTGTGTCATTCACCTGAAAAGCTTTTCAGTGCTTTCTTCCTTGGGCCTAATTCCTATGACCCGGGAGGGTTAGCAAAACCATTTATATAAAACTTTCCTCATCCAAAGATTGCTTCAGATCAAACTGGGACAGAATCTTAATATTCCTACAGAAGAACGGTTTTAAATAATTTGCTTGATTTCCCCTTATGGTTAATATAAAGTTTACTCCCATTCACCCAACAATGCTAAGACCAAATTTGGGCATAATCAAACCATTTCTACAGGAGGAGAAGAACTTTAAAGAAGTTGCTCTAATTCCCCTATTGGGCCAAGCCCTTCTGCCCAAGGGGGTTCGATACCCACCATTTATACAAAATTGACTCCTCTTCATGAACAATGCTTTAGATCAAATTTGGGCAAAATCCAATTATTTCTACTGGAGAAATAGGATTTTCATGAATTTGCTTTATTTCCCCTTATATAAAAAATTTAAGCTAAGAATGCTTAAGACCAAATATGGGCAAAATCTTATTATTCCTAGTGAGGGTTTTAAAATTTCCCCCTTTTTTGGCTCCACCCCTCAGGCTCCTTGGTGCTGAGACCCATCATATATAAAAAAAAATTCTACTCCTTCCCCCATAAGATGCTTCAGACCACATTTGGTGAAAATTCTCAGAGTTGTTTAGAAAAGATGGACAATGGATGGGCGAAGGATGCTGCAATAAGCTCAACAGCCTTTTGGAGCAGGCAGGCTAAAAATGTTTCCAGCAAGTGTTGAAATACAAAGAATTGTCATATCTGTATGAACCATGTTAAATGTTGCATTACAAACCAGAAGGACTAATGGTAGATAGTTCAAGCACTCTTTGTAGCTCAAAGTCTAATTCCTCCATTGCTGTCATACTATTTGGTTTTCCTAGCTGTGATCCCTCATCTTTGGACCGTTTTGGTGACTTCCCCTTTTTGTCAGTTGACTGTTTACCCTTTGCTCGTGGAGGTTTGGGCAGTAGTGCAATGTCAGGGAGAGCCTTGTTCTGTTTTTGTGGAGAGGGGAGGTCACCCTCTCCTGGGATGGGACTTCCACCTTCAGCAGCCCCTGGGGAATCCAGTAAGCTAAAATAGAAAAGGTTGAATATGAGAGATCATATTCTAGTAGTTAAATCCAATTTCAAATTTCAAAGCTGATCCGTTATCACTTTCCAATGCTATTTCATATATGTATTGTGAAATTCTGATGAAAATTAAAAGTGAGTTTTGATGTAAAATAACATTCCTAAGAGCAGTCTAAAATACAATAAAATTCTCAGAAATTCAGCATTAGGTCAGCAAGGACTAGATCATGATTATTTGAACTGGTAAGCTAAATATTGTTTGATAATGTTCCAGATTTTAACTGTTGTTAATCTGATTAAAAATTTGACTAATTAAACATTTTATTATTGACTTTTTAGATTAATTAATTCTTTGACAGGAAGTAATATCTTTCCTAAGAACTAAGGTTTGCTAGATTCTGACTAGATCAACCAAAAAAATCACATAGTTTACTGCCACTTTACCTTGCTGTTGTGGAGGACAAGTCTGCAATAATACCCTGGTCCCTGAGGTACTGTAAACGGGACATCTCTAAAGCCCTTAACAGGTCCATTTGTTCATCAAGTATTGCTTCCTGCACTGGCTCTGTAGAAACACCCAATTCAATAGCTACAAACATTTTTCCTAGTTATACATTTATAGCCTATTGATCAGTTCAACACAACAATTTATTGCCCCCGTAAAACAAAACATTGACCAAGGATCTATTTCCAATGGTGATGTTTTTTCCCCATATAGATCAATTAATATGTATCGATCAAATGAAAAGACTGTTATTACAAAATTCTATCTTGATCTCATTGAACCCAAACTTGTCTATAGAAGAAACAACATATGCTGAACAGGTGAGAACTTAATTACCAGACTGGTCCGAGTTTTCCACAGCAGCAGCAGCCATACATTGTCGACTACAATACTGATGCCATTCTCCTGTCCGCGGATTCTTAGCCTCTAACTTGTTACACCCTTCCCTAGCACATTTACCTGTAATCAATGAAATTGGAGAATTGTTTCAGGGTCTTAATATATAATGTCAACTTGTATGTTAATTGTGTATTACATACAAATTAAGTACTAGGAATTGTAAGTTCTTTATAGTGTCAACTAATCTGCGAAGGCTGCCACAGCATTTTACACTTAGTTATAAATGTATAAGTTCTACGATTATATATCGTAATGTTGAACTCCTTTGACCCAGAATACTCAATACCACATATCATTAATATCCCTTCACAAATTTAAAATTCTGTTCAAATTTTTAGCCTCGACTTTATCCACAGAATTGTAATACCCTTCAAGTATACACTTTAGAAATGCTTTTTCCTTAGGATTAATTGATGTCAACTTGTCTAACACTCTCCCAAAACTTATTGATTTTATGTTCTCTAGATTGGGTCTACCAGTAGGAGAATGTAATGTTGTTTTCCTGGACTTCCCTGTATTTTTAAGAACATATCAATCCTCCATGTTTCCTGTGAAACACTACCAGAAAGCCTACTGCCTTGATTTCTCTGGTTTTGTCAATCCAGTACCATTGGAGAACCTAGTTACCATTGTTTTTTCTTACTTGTATCTCTGTCACTAACTGAGAATCTGCTCACCCTATTTTCTTGGACTTGTCAGATTGTCTCATTTGTCTAAGGATTTACTGACCTGGTTTTCTCTGACTTGTCTGTCCATCACTGTCTGAGTCATCACTGTCAGGCCAGTCTAGTACAGCCATCACATTGGTATGTCGACCAGATGCATCCTTTATCCAGGGATTTGCCGGATCAACATCTTGTATAGAGGCCAGTATGGCTTTCCTCAGTTCCTCCTTTAAAATATTATTATCAGAATATAAAATATATTCACTGTAACAAGAATTCTGTGAAATTCTATACCTCACAATACTCAATGTCACCACAACCCTCAATGTCACTCTCTCAACTGACTAAAGTCCCATAACACATAAATATCCAGAAGAAAAAATGTAAATGGGTGAGCCTCAAACATGTATTATAAGTAAACTGTATTAACAAAAACTGTCATCCTGAGGATACATAATACCCCCACCCCAACCCCATCCCATCCCCTGCTGATGCAAAGAATTTACATCACAATTACTATGAGGGCAAAGTGTCATCATAGCTATTTCATGTCATGCAATCCATGAATTTATATATCATTTAAGTATCAAAAAATATAAACAAATAAATAAAACCCAAGAAATCAGCATTCTAAATCCATAATCAATTATAAGACACTAAGCAGAGCTTAAAGCTGTAAAAGTGATTAAGTGTCAAAATCAGAAAATCGGGGAAAAATTCATTTTTAGTCAAAATGGAAAAAAATCTGTATTATATGTTAAATGGTAGTGTTCCAACAAAGGTTTGTAACAAATTTCAAGTCCATTGGATATTCAGAAAAAGATTACGGCAAAATACATAAACTAATGCTGGAAAATAGGTTTTAAAAAAGTCCAAAACCATGAAAAATACTTTTTATTTGTTAAGTGGACATAGAGCAAATTCTTTAAAATATTTATTATTCTGTGAACTTAGCTATTTTTAAAGAGCTGCATCTAACCCCTTTTGAAGGAGGGTTGAATCTGCTACAGGGAAATACTCAGGGTAAATACAAGCGTCTTTAATATTTTTCCCTCTAAAAGAAATCAATTTCAGCAAAGTAAACCAGGTAAGAGATACAAGCCCTATGGGCCTTTTATTGCTGTCTTATTTTTTGGTGTTTTCCAGTGTTTAGTTTTTATGTAAAGTTCTGAATGAGCGTGTTGTCATGAAGTTGATAATTGATCTTAGAATGCTGATTTCTTGCATGGATACTAAAGTCAAATTACACAAATAAAAATTATTTTTTACATATTGTGTGAATGGCCAGAGCAACATGGAGATGTGCCCCTAAGTCGGTCACTTAACAGGTTCATCTCCATTCAATACGGCATCAGGACAGAAAGACAGCCAAGGGTCACAATGACCATGAAATGGTGATTTTTTTTTTGTCAATCTTTTTTTACTAAAATCAGATCTTTTAAAACTGGAGTGACAAAGTTATCTCAAGAAAATGCTACAACAGACTTACATCCTCATAATCCATACTGTATCTGCGTCTCCTGTGTTTTCGGAGTGCAGGAGGTGTTTCAGGAGGTACCAGCCCTTTTGATATTGCCACAATAAATTCATGCCGTTTCCTTTGGACAACATGGGCTTGTTCTATAATGCGTTTTCTCGGAGTCCTCAAATATAACCTGTTTACCATCTGAGATAAAATCTCGCCACATTCCTCCAGCTCAGTCTGTTAAGAGAGATAAAAAATTTATCAATCACAACAAACTTATTCAAATATTCATCAGTTAGTATCATCCTCTTATCTGGTTTCTTCAGGATGCACATGATACAAAATTTATGATACACCTGTATGATAATTACTATAATCGAGCAGGCCCATTGTGTTCCTTGTAACATTTAGAATCCTTTTACATCAACTTCCGCTATCAAGCCTCTTCCTGAAGAAATAAATCAGTTTTCTTATGATTTAAAGAAATTCCTAAAATAACGTTTTTAGATTTCTGCTTACTCAGGATTCTCATCACTTGCTCGTAACACAGGGTTTCCAAAGATGCAAGTTGATGAAAATTATAGGGAAGTTTTATGGTCGTCAGAGTGATCTCCTTAATACATATTCTATTTCTTTGTACAAAACGAAGCTAAATGTGTTTGATGCTCGTTAGTTTTTCTGTTGGTTCAGTTGTTGCATACCTTGTTCTAATTTGAGAATGTGGCATTGCTTACTTGGATTAACCAAGGTTTACACAGCGGGTGTCACCGATGAAGCAGAAGACATTTACTCTTCTGAAACACCTGGTCTATTCTCCATGTACTTGTTTGGGAGTCTCCATGTAACTATTTCTTTTGTTCAAATTTTGCCATAGTTTCATTGAATCTGAGTCTGGGGTATGATTCTTGTTGATATGTTGGAATTTTCAATGATTACCTGCATGAATTCAAACACCATCTTTTTGTAGCCAGGTCCGTCAAGATAATATCCATAGGCATAAGAGCACTTGAGCACACGCCGCGCTTTCAACAATTGTTCTACAGCTTCTTCTACAAACTTTGTCTCTGCATTAGCTGTTGCTGTATTGACAGAATCCATGTAGTTTTAAACAGCAAAATTTACAACAAACAAATTATTGCAGAAATGACATTTTAAAAGATTTAATGAAAAAAAAAGTGATTTTCAAAAAAAAATGTTCATTCATTTCAATTTTATAAATCAGAATTAAATTTCAAGCCTGAAGTCCCTTATACAGTAAAATGCTTAAAAAAGAGGTGTCTGATGGCTGGAATTGTCTAGATCTACTCTGACTGCTAAGGAATACTACAACATAATTTTTTTATAGAAAATTTGAAATATTTGATCCAAATGAACTAGTTTAATGCAATTATTTGGCCAATTAAGATATCTATACAACATTCAAGAATGCAATTATTCAAATACAACAGGCACGGAAAAGCATAATTGAAACTGCTTTGGGTTATACCAGTTAAAATGACCAAATTTGATAGGTATTACAGATGTCCAACCACATGTTGACTCTCGTAAGTCAATACAGAAACAGGAAATTGAATGGAAAATCAAAGATACTGATGGCCAAACTAAAAAGTGGTTGATACTCTTGAGTTAGACAATGAAAACTGCAGGATAGAGCAAGCAGCATTCTGTAAAAACAACTTTAAACATTCGCAAACTGACCGTAATTTTTCATAATGTGGTTGATGATTTGAAGAGAACTTTGATATCTGAAAGTACATGTATAATGACAACTGCAAAAGTTGAAATTTTTTTTTTTTTAAAGAAAGTAATCTGCATATTTCATCTTGATTATGAAGTACATGAAGTGTTTGTGAAAGATTTATGAAACCTAGAATGTTCAGAGAATGTAAAAGTTATTCCAGATTTACCTGGGTCGGTTACAGCTTCTGCTAACTTCATCATCTTTGTCTTTGTAGAACTGGTGAGTGGTTCTTCAAACTGGAAACAGGGAAGAAAAATAAGTTATTTAGTTCTGTTTTCGTTTTTTGGGTTTCTTTTTAAAAATGATAGTTCAAAAAATCTTTTAAATACTTTATTTCCAACTGCTTTTAATTCTTTATATACATAATATACATATCCAGTCTCAAAATTGACCTGGTTTTAAGTTAAAAACAGAAATGAGATATCATCAATTATAAACTGCATTCTCAATAATGACAACAATGAATTCACATGCTTAATCAATATTTCTTTACATCGTACAAAATCACCGATATCTTTTAAGAGGGTTGTAGGAAGCATCGGAAATTTTTCTGATAATCACACCCTGACTTACCTTGTAACTGTTTTCATGGTTCTTGAAACGAGTGTAGTAATGGACAAATTTATTCAACTCCTGCATTCGTTTGTTCCTTTCCTCTGCCTGTAAACCAGTCATTATTATTTATATCAAACCACTTGATACACAACATGACATTGTACATCTTCATAATTCTAAAATTATTACAACTATTAATCAAAACTATATAAAAAAAAACTTGCATCATTTTCATATCAAGTTTAAAACATTTTATATTACGTCATCATGATTTACAATTACCATTTCAACATATTTTTCTTCAAAATGGATGACTGCACCATTCATGAAATGTAATACTGTAATTTAACATAATACTGAATTCAGAACAGTCAAAATTTGGTGGATTATCACTTTCCCTTTACAAAGAGAAATGATGAATTTGTGCATTGGTACAATAAATTCTAAACTGAAACGATATACAGAAGCACTAATTAACATAATCATATCATAGCACAATACCGCTGACATATTAGCATTGACAGTAAATCCCAATGACGTTTTTGTCAGAAAATTGACATTTCAAGACAAGGGCCGTCAGAGACAGGTTATGCGCCCAAATGAAACAAAATTTTAAAATGAAAAAAAAAAAAAAAAAACGAAGGGCAATAATTCCTAAATAATGCAAAGAGAGTTATGGTTCTTGTACACTGCACTTCTCATCAATATCATTCTACACATGAAGTTTCGTGTTGATAACTCTTGTACGTTTTGTTTTATGCTCCAGATAAAATCATGACGTACCGAAAAACAGACAGATAGACAGACTAAGCGTGATTATATGATCTCCGTTTGGGGACCATAGAGTTATCAAGAAGGGAAAAATCTATAAATAAACTGGTTGTAACAGACATCAAAAATCCTAAGTGTAGAAAAATTTCATAATATACCAGTCCCTAGATATCTTGATATCAAATAAATATGCCCAAATCTTTAAATGAGTGCTTTATATTTGTTTCAATTCCTATTGTGTTACAACACTGCCTCATATATCCTACAAAACTCCTATGTCTAGCAATGAAAGTCAATCTATTCTAAAGCACTATTTGATAGATTTACCACCAGAATTTATTTTATGCTATTTGCCTCCACTGCAATGTACCCCTACACACACCCCCAACTCCATCCCCTCCCTCTTTTGAATCTGTTGCCCCAACTTCCTGGTCTCATTACAGTATAAATACAGGTATACTCACATCTGACTGTGCCAGGTTAGCATTATCCTCTACAATCTTTGACACCTCGTATCGGTTACACTTGAAATATCCACCTGTACTAGAGTTGTGTCGTTTCCACTGATCCAAACACACCCAGCAGAAATCAAACTTGCACTGAAACAAACATTAAACTGTAAGATGCCAAAAATTAAATATATAGATATAATTTCTTTATACTGAAACTGGAAATACCAATTCATGTGCTTAATGAAACAAGAGAACCAAGAGGGACCTTGGTTCCCACTATTGTTTGATCTATTTGTTCTGAGAGTTGGATCTTTTCCCTTCTTAATCTTTTCTTCTTCTTTTTAACATTTTAACATTCCTTTGCAAAAATAATTACGGTCACAAGGGTAACATTCAGTTACAATCTGTATAATCTGTCTTTGCACTCAAAAGTGTCTTTCTCGTTAATGTCAGAAAAAAAATCAAACAGGTAAAAATTTCTTAAACAAATAATTTTTCTAAAACTTATCCAGGAATTTTATAAAAAAATTGAAATGTGTGAAGATAGATCATTATTCACAAAAAGAAACAAGAATTTGTGATATCATTTAGCAATGTTTTCCTTTTATTCAATACTCTCTGGTGGTAGGTATAATTCATCTGTAATAGTATACATTTTACAATGATACTGGTTTGAGTTTCCAATCCAACAGCTTTATAAACAAAAGCAATTCCATAAAACGGTACCTTTGAACACTTCATGTGGTTGCAACCCTCATTTTTCTGTATAGGAGATTTACAGTTGGGACAGGGTTTAGAATTTGTGACTAGCCAAAGACAGTTTGCTGCAGATTCTGTATCTTTCTCTGTACCATCCACTGTAAACAAACAAATCAAGATATATGTACACAATATACAGCTATATTCATTACATGTATCCAACAGCAGCTAGCATAAATCTTAAAGAGACTTTGGAGGATCATTTTTCTTATTAAATTAAAAAAAAGTAAAATTAAATATTAAAATGAAAAAAATATCAGAAAATTGTTAACAAGGTTACCAAGAATACAAAGATTAATTTCTTAATTCTATGTGGAATCTCATCAAAGTTGAATCAATTTTGTTCAGTTCTGACTTGAGAGGAAATAAACTGCTAGAGATGTACTAATCTTCGAGCTTTATTTTGTTCTGGTCTGACATTGAGAACCAATATTGGTTAAGTTTGATCTTAAAAACAAAAAACCTTCAGACTTGCAATTCAATTGGTACAGATTTCTACAGAAGAGAATACTTAATTCTGGTTTGGCTTAGAAGACTTACTCTGTTCAGGTTTCACCTCTGCTATTTTCTGATGCCACTTGGTCCAGTTTTCACAGCTGCATGGCTCATGGGCTTCACCCCCACAGTCCCTGAAAATAGTGCAGGATTTTTTTCTTCATGGCATGTGATTAATAACAGACATTGACACCGTCATCCCATGCATTATTTCACTTTACTGCAACACGAGCAGGATGAGACCATTAAGCAGGTCTGTCATTATAAAAGGGAATGACATGTACAAAACTGACTAAACCAATTCAAAGTGTTACATTTTATCTCTCTGGAAAACTCAAATAAGTTAAAAAGATTTATTATTAAAATCAATTATCACACTCCAATGTTTACCAACTTTTCAGTTGATAACATGTAAACATACCTTGTCCAGTATGAGACATTTATAGGACAAACTTTAGATTACTTCACCTTTACAGCAAACAGAGGAAACTATGTATAAATCATTTAACTCACCAACAGAAGTAATGTTTGTTACCACAGTCGACAGCGCGTGAGGTGTCAGCGGGGAGCTGTCGTGGTGTCTGGTTGCTACCGTCCAGTTCTGGCAATCGAACTGCTCGACCACAGCCCGGGAATGGACACCACTTAATACTTGGATTACTGTCTACAAATGCCTATAAGGTACAAACAAACTTTTATTCATCATTTACATTTAATGAATGTATATAAGACATAAACGATAAAACATTCATGCCAATAAGATGTGTGACTATGACACTGAAACTTTAACAAAAAAACTCAGGATTTTTTATACTTTATCCTTATTACAAATTAGGTCATACTACTGAAGAAATTAGGTCACCAAAGTGACCAAGTGGAGAACTGTCACACCATTTATAGGCCTTTTGCTAAACAAAACTTTAAATATGATATAGTCCAGTTGACCAGTGTTGTTCGTTTATGAAATAAAATGGAACCTGTTGATCTAATTTGCTCTCTTGGGTGTCTTGTCTAAGCCTTTTTGGGTCTGTAAAATCATCTGCTGGTCTCTCCTAATTTATGCTTGAAATGTTACCTTTAAATTGCCAATGAACTGATTTGTTGAAGTAAACAAGTTTCTGGTCTACAGCCCCGTAGAGAGCTAATTAAAAAAGAATTTGTTTCAGGCAAATTCTTAAAGACTAATCCAAAGTAACATCTGCTTGACCCCACGACTTCAACATAAATTACTTCAATTCATGTTTCTATTTCCTTTCTATTACTTCTCTGTAAATATCTAAATTCTATTGGTGGTACCTCTAAACAAAATGTGAAGTCCTGGTGTGGGAGATTGTTTAATAGAAGAGCCCTAAAGCAGAAATCCAACCTGCATATAAAATACTGTACACCTTTGTGATCTCTAGATATTCACTAGATCATGAAATAATTATACTTTCACATTCTATACAGTCGTATTAGGTAAAATACCTTGATGTCAAACTGTAGGTATCGACGTGCCATCTCTCTGGAGACAATATTCTCAATGATTTCCACAGGTACAAGCTTTCCGCATTGAAACCCAGGACAGGTAATATGATGGGCATCTCCTTCCTGGATCTTCAGATTCAAATATCTAAAATGATCAGCAATCAGTTAATTCATTACATTCATTTTGTGAACCCATATTAATTTGAAAAAAAAAATTTAAACAATTTCAATAAAAATATTTTAAGTTTTAAATACATCATCGATTAAGTCTTAAATGTATCCAATACAGTATAACTCATGTTGTAAGCTTTAGAGGAAATCACATGCCAAATTACATGTTGTGACCCAGTGATGGACCAACAACTGAAAAATAAATCTTAAACTTAACCTATTAATATTAGAAAATCAATTAATTGATGAAAAAATTGTGAGACAATTAACTATTATCTAATAACTGGAAATGTCAAGTGGAATTCCTCATGTAAAATTCTTCAGTTGTAGGCAACTTTCAACTTTCAGCCTTGGAAGTAGGATATGAACTTATTCAAAGTATCTAAAGTTTTCAAAATTTGCAATATTTTCAATACAAGAAACAACTATTTTACAATCAATGCAAACTCACTCTTTCCAGCAGCAACGACAGAACTGATGTTTACAAGCCATGTGGACTGGTTCCTCCTCCAGCAAGAACGATTGAGTACAGATATCACACTGAAACAATAAAAACAACAATAAGACACCTCCCTTCGAAAAGTACCGAGAACTAAATGCAAATTTTTCATATACCTCAGTTTAATACATACCACAGATTTTGAATAACTCAAAGTACTTTGATCTTTTTCAATTTTTGCAAACACTGGTTGGTTAACTCAAGGAAAAATATATACTGCTTAATTTTTATACCACAACTGTAACTTTATTGTGATAATATTCTGTTATATTTGATATCAGACATTACAATTTTCTTGCTATGTTTTAATATTATTTTTTCATTTTGTAATTGACAGAGAAGAATTTACGTTTAAGAGATTACAACTATATATATAGAAAAGAGGAATCAAACGTTTAGTATGAATTATTGAAGAACCTGAAAATTGTCTATAAGACATGGAATGCCCCCTCCCCTCCTATGCAAACCAGAATCAGTCCAACCAGGTATAGGGTTAGATGCAGTGATAATAGTAAATATGAAGAAAATTGTTAACCTAAAGAAAAGAAAAAAAGAATTGTTCAAAATAAATCATAGATTGATTACTGTAATACAATATGCCCTCCTAGGTCATAAAAGAACTGTCTATAAACTTGGAGATTTCTTACATTTCAACTTTTACGAACCTTACTCTAGAGAACGATTCCAATAATCATACATTAAGAAAAGCCTCAATACTCCAACAATTACAATAAGTTTCGCTCTCTACACCTGTGGAACATTTATTGGCAAAACTGAAGACACAAGCTATGTCATTTGATTGGTCAAGAGCGAGTTTCAGTTGAAAAAAATGACCAATTACTGATACATTCAGTTGAAGATTAAAATGGAGCAACACTCTACTTCAAAGCCAGCACAACATACTGTTATGCAACCTCAAGATTCGTGTTATGTACAAAGGATCAAACTAGTCTTAAAACCTTGAATTTTGTCATGAAATGTTTCAGGGGGGCAGAGAGTGATAGTAATCACAACCCCTAGAGTATCGAAGATTGTCATTAGAAATGCTTTATCAAGAGAAAACAAGCCATTATGTCAATTTGAACAAGGGGAGATAACTCAACATCAATAAGAGAGGTTAACGGAAAAGGGGCAAATAACTCACATCAATGTCCATATAGGTCAAAAGGTGAAGGTGTGAGAAATAGAGAAGATAGTTTTGAAGTACGAGGGACAAAGAGGTGATAAAACACAAATGCTAGTATCAGTATTGGAGGTTCAGAGGTGTAGAGATGTGGAGATATCTTTCTATAGCTCCGATGCTTACACCTAAGCTTTGGACAATTACTGAGATCTTACCATAGTGTCAGGACTGGGAGGTTCTGAGCTGACGGGACTGGTCAAAGACTCCTGCACTTGGGGTTGTTCAGAAAACAGACTGGGGGGAGGGGTCACACCAGACTTCTCGCAGCAGGCCAATGGGTCACTCATCCATGCCTCCAGGAGCATCTCACGCGACCACTCTGCTCGGGCACAAACAGGGACCACACGTTAAAAACATGCTATGGACTGGTTCATTCAAACAAGAGGGATAAGTGCAAGGGTAGTTACCCATGATGCATTGTCAAAATGCAAACAATTACTAGTGAAAATAACTGACTCTTGACTGAAATATATTTAATATTGATAAATTCAGTGATAGACTAAATAACACAAACAAATTCTTAAAATGACTGACAGGGAGTGTTGTTTTAATGTATAGGCAGTTGTGAAAATTGAATCCATGAAATAATGTGACACATTTGTACTAGATGTCTTTTTTCATCCAGATCCAAAACTTTAACTCATTATAAATATCATTCAATAGTTTTTCAAAAGAAAACAAATTTGACATGAAAATAACTAGCATTAGAGTATTTAATTTATTGTTACTAAAATTGAAAACTGTAAATAGATGTTAAGACTAATGATCTATTTTGACAAGCATACTAAGACTACTTCTAATTGTGATTAACACAATTACTGGAAATTGTATTGAACGAAGAAGAATTCAGCTATTGCAAAAAAAAAAAAAAAAAATCACAACAAAAACTTTTTGTTCTTTCCAAATAATACTTCAAATTTTTCAACTTTTCAAAATGTTCAGATCACTACTTAGACAATGTGAAAGTGGTATTATTTGCCTCAATGTGCTATTTACAATAAATGCATATAAATCTTGTTTGATACTATCCATAGTTAACTTGATTTTAGTAACATCAAATTTGACATAGTTTTATTTCATTTTAGTTATGTCAGACACAATCACTTATCACAAGGATAATATCATTTTTTAAATAAATTTTGTACATTCTTTGATTTATATGTTGACAAACTGGTGACACAAATTCAGATCCTGTCCCGTAGCTTACCATGGTTCCTTAGCAAGGCATCTGCAGTAAAAAGTGGCACACTCAACATGTCCGCAGTCTCCACCAATAGCTGATCCTTAGCCTCCTGGAGATCTTGAGCACGCAGACCACTATACTCCTTCAGAAGAAAGGGCAATGCATTATATACAGATTTTTCTCACGACAAGTAGAAACATCTATTTACTGAGAAATAAGTGTCATTGACTCAAAACAAATTATTTGGATTGTTTGCTTCCAGGTTTTATAGCTGGTGTGACTACCTCAGTGAACATCATGCAGAGGGACATGGCACATGCTTTTCATGTTGGGAATTGGTTGTAATTTCATCTTTGATGATTCATCCCATCATAGGTTATCATTGGTTAACAAAATTTTTGCTGGAAAAAAAATTCAAAATTGAGAATGATCCACCCAGTTCTTTTTTAAGATATTGTGATATCAAAATTTCATTGTTAAAATCCAATATCATCCCTCTTTTAACCATCAGAAAGTATTAAATGTACTCTCACATACCTCTGAGTCCACAACAGGTAACATTTCTGGTATAGTTACATCGTTAGGATCATTCTGTAATCAACAGGTAGTATTTATATACACAATTCAATAAATTTATGTCATTGATTTTAAGAACTGTTCACATTTAAATTATATATAAATTAGTGAATACCTTTTGAAAAGCATAATTTCAAATCAGAAACAAAATTACCAAACAATCAAGTTCAATTTACTTCTTCAACCACAAATGAATGCAAAACAGAATGCTAGATGTCTTGCTTATATCATGAAACAGTGTTACGATTTCCAGAATTAAAATTAATTAAAAAAACACAAAATTTCTGGAACAATTAAGACATTTTCAAATAAGAATGGCTTGTAAGGTTATCAAAATAAAAAATTCATGGGTGGTCTGCAGGTGGCATATAGGTAACATCCTTGCCTTTCACACTGCCATTCAGGGCTCAATTCCCAGAATGGATGTGAAAAAATAGCATATTCACCTATCCAACCACATGGGTTTTCCCTGGGTTCTCGGCATTCCACAGTAAGATCCCTCCTACACTTACATCAGGGTCAACAAAAGCGATCAATATAAGTTGAAATAGCTTGTTTTGCAAATGATGTAAAATAAATAAAGCTCAAATATTCAAAGAGTCTGTCACCTACATCAGAAAAAACCATCTTGGATTCCAGGTAAGTAGCTATTTCCGTGTGAGAATTTCTCTCAGCAGAATCACAGGGTGTTAACTGGTCTTTGTTTTCTGTGAACAGGGGTGCTCCATGAGCCACCAACATCTGAAGAGAAAATAAAATACTGTTTTCAAAGAGTAATTATGACTTTTTATGCATGTTTCTAAAGACTGGCATAGCTAGGAGAACAGCAAATTGGTACAGTCGGCTATACTTATTGGCCAATATAAAGTTGATATCTTCATTATATGAAACTTAAATATCCTCTGAGCACTTACATCTTAGGCTAACTACTAAATATCACAAAACCATATGTTTTCTATATAGTTTGTAAACACCCTTTCCTCCAGCTTCATCACCTGGGTACTTAAGGTTACCTGATCTGATTGGTTTAATAACACTTTTCTCAGGTCAACAAAACTTTCTGTCTCGTTTTTTATTTAGTCTTCAATATTAAATATATAATCTAATATTTCATTTTCCCAGTTCAGCCGAGTCAACAGTTGATGGAACAACCTCCAAAATACTTGAAATATTAATTGTTTTGACAGCATCAGAAACCTACCTCCACACATCGTTTTAGTCCTGAAGCGGCAGCATAATGTAACGCAGTGTTCAAATCCTAAAAGAAGAATAAGTGTAGAGTAAAATATCTTAAATTATTTTCAATTATAATCAATTAAGCCCTTACAATCATACAATATTGATCTTAGCCTGAGCTACTGATAGTGTTTCCTAATGAAACATCATATCTCTATTTTGTTTAACAATGTGTCTATTATTATTATTATTATGACGATCTTAACGGCCCGTCAACACATAAAAGGTCATTAGGGCCATCAAACAGTAAAACACACAGCGATCCAAAAGGAAATAACATTAAACAAACCAAAAGGTAAAAGACAAATGCTAAAAATCTTAAATGGGTACGTTAACACAAAAGATTAAAATGGTACGTCATAGGCTATTATATAGACCAACATCTTTCAGGTAATGTAGAATTTTACAAATCTCAACAGTTTCAAAATGGGATTTTAGACATGTAATGTTACGATAAAAACATTCTCGAGTAGACAGAAGATTAATGCAGTTCAATAAAAAATGTTTAACAGTGAATGGCTCATCACATCCTATGCACCAAGGATTATCTTCACCTTTCAACATTTATGAATGTGTAAGGTATGTATGACCCATCCCAAGACGGGCAAGGACAACTTTGTCTCTGTGGTTGTCTCTATAGCCTGAAGACCATTCACCGATAACAGTTTTAACAGAGTGCAATTTGTTATTGTATAGGTATTCCAATCCTCTTGCCACTGAGCTTTTAAAATTTGTTTCTGAAAAACCGTATAAGCATTGGGGCTCAAAAACCTACACCTACCTTTATTGAGTGATGACGGCACCAACAGATTAATATCAGCTATCAAAGACCATAATATTACCATACTAATGAAAAAAGGCGCAAATATTCAAATCCTTAACCATGAAAGAAACCTATTTATTTTATCCTTAAGAGGTTTAGTGAATTTTGTAGGATTCTAAATTTCGAGAGAGTGCAAAGCACCATTTCCAAAATTTTGATCAGTCCAGTTTTACAAAGATTTATATGGGTTGTCAAAACTTGAAGAGTCCCACAGAAAAAGCATGAGAAATATATGAGTTGTCAAAATTGAGTTTAGGACTGAAATATTAAAATATCTAAGTGCCAAAAATCACTGTAGTTTAAAAAGATAAAATGTTAATGTTGAAATTCTAGAATATTTTACCAGTGACTACATGTTAAGTTCATTTGTTGGTATGGCACATGCTTTCACATATCATTATATCAATTTTTTCTAAAGATTCTAATGATCATGACACTCTTATTCAGTAGATAACAATCATAAAAAGTTGTTCAGAATCAGCTGCGGAAAAATATCTACCGGTGTTCATTAAATAAATCTTGTGATAGGCTAATAATTGTCAGTTACGAGTTGGACTGATGAAATAATCCTATTAATTTTATCAACACATGTATTAATATTTATATATAAAGCTAAGTATTGCATTGGTTATCAGTTTCCAATGAACCCTGACTAATGCTGTGGTTAAGCCTGTCATTTAAATAAATTTTAGTTCTGTCATTCACTCCTGGATGGTACATCCAGGATCCCATGAGATGCGTGCGCATCGTTAGCAGTCATAGCGTGTTTTGTTAGCAAATAGTACAGAGGGACCTGCACCTCCTCTGACTTTATATGGCCTTTTATACCTTCATAATTTGTTTTATACCCAAAATTATACCTCATCCTGAGCAGCCAGGTCAATTTTCTCCACCTCGCCATCCTTTAGTGTAGCTCCCCTCCAGTTCAGCAGCATCTGTAGACACTCAGCACGTTTGCGTAAGACTGGGTAACATTGAGCATGGCAAGGTTTCTCCATTGACACACAGTGTAGGCATGTTTCCTTGTGTCCATTTGTCTTGTTTGGGTTCCCACCCAACTCACGTAAAAATATCCTGTAAAAAATAGCAGTATATGAAGGAAGAGTCAATGCCGGTAGGTTTGGATTTAGAGAGGTTAAGTCATCCTCTACTTGGATATCTGATGGTGACCAACGTTTGCCTTGATATTATCCTATAAAGGAACATCACATCCTACAGGTAAACGAAATGAGGCAATATTTTAGAGACACAAAGATTTAATGCTGTTTTAAACTTAGACTGTAACCATAATAATGAAAAATTATGTAAAAACAAGGAAATATTAAAAGAATTTTTCTTTTACAGAGAAAAATTTTATTACTAAAAGAGAATCTTAGGCAAGTCTTAGAAGTGATCTTTTTACTAAATTCTTACTAGGTAAAATGTTTGAGTTTCATAAATCTAATGAAACTGAAACATATAAGATACTGTTTATCACATGACTGAAGACATTTTAGGAACATCCATGACAATTTGCTCAGACAAATTTAAGAATGATGGATGCAGGCCGAGAGCAATAGCTCACCTCAGCTTAAAGGCTTTTGTATACATTCAGTGATTAACACAGTAAAACTGTTTTAAAAACCAAAAGGCCTAAGGGACCTGCATCCCTCACCTAGCTAATATAGCTATTCAGCAATTCAATAAAGAATTTCAGGAAGAGTAAGATTTTTAAGAATTTGCTCTGTTACCACTATTGGGTCCCAACCCTCAGACCCCAGGGAGCCATGACCTACCATTTATAAAAAAATTATTCCCTTTCTCCAAACAAGGCTTCAACTTATATTTTGGCAAAACCCAACCAATGAAGGAGTCAGGTGAGCTAATAATATATCAAGTACATACCGTAGTAAACTTTTCATGCCATGTCGCGCAGAGTAGTGGAGAGGAGTTTCATGCTGATGCGAGTCACCATATGAACAGTTTGGATCCAAGGCTTTCCGTAACTCACTATGGCTGTTATACAGATTCAGGGCCGCAACCTCATCTCCATTACTTAGGTGTTTCCGGAACTTGGACGATGTGCTTCCCATCCTGATCTCAATACACAGACAGTGGTTCTGGTTCCAAAAAGCAAGGTTAGAAATAGAAAACCTGAAGAAGAAAATAACAAGCAGATTATATAAAGGAATTAGTCACCAGAGGGCTATGGCCCTTAACAGTTATCTGAAAATTAGTATTAATCAAAATATGAAAAACTTACTTTTTTTATAACATCTGCCATTAGAGATAAGTTTTAAAGCTATTTCCTTGTCAAAGAGCAATTAGTTAATTTCTCTTTCAATATTGTATTTATATGCCCTTTATCTTCAAACTAAAAATTAATCTTGTCACCCGACAAGAAAATCGTACAGTACACCCTTGACAGTATGTTAATGACTCATCAATATAAATTTTCACTCATAAATGCTCAAATAGTCGGAGATATGTTTCTCTGACATTGTTTTTTAATGACACAGGAAAATTGTTCTTTGACTTCAGAGGTTGTCAAATGCCAGGGGTCAACTAAATGATCCATATAATATAGCTGTAGACGAGAAAAACAAAGGTTTGTAGGTATTTTGTCTTTAATGATATAATATCTACTATACTACATAAGAGTCTAGTACAATGATGTATAACTGTATGTGAAGCTGCAATAACTGGGGTAATTCTGACATTCCACCTTTTGTAACTGTATGGACATGTTAAAAACACATTTTAAAATTCAAAATCTGCAATTTTAAAAGAAATGCAGATTATTTTTTAGATTATGATTTTGAGTTAAGATTCATAATACCAGCGAGAGTGTCATCAGCACAGTCATATAAGACAAGTAGTCTTTATATACAGGTGGTTGCTCAGAAATTCTAGAGTGTAATCCATTCCTTGTTACCTAACTTATCCTAACTTTAATTATAATGAAAGACTACTGGTCTTAAGATTGTAACACTTCCATATCAAGTCTTCACAAGCATATCCTTCCATATGTTCACGTAAGTATATAGCATTACACAAGTATATCAAGTTTGAAAGACTGTGCTTCAAAAATGAGCAAATTCTCATGATACTTTCCAAAACATTAAAAATGTTAATTTTACCGCTTCAATGAAAAAACAATAAAATTAGCTTATCCCATATCATTTTGTATTAATAAGTTAACGTAGATATATACCCAGACAACAATGAGATGTACAGATATACTACTAAAAGACCAGAAATCTCTTCTACTTTTATACGTCATACCACTAAACCATAATCAAGAGTCACATAGGGCCTGTAACGGTTTGTTTGGCTGAAATTACTTCACCCAAATTAATGGAAAAAGAATTGTTGATTTCCAAGAACATAACACATACTAATCTATTTCCCAACTAGACATCACCCCTCTGTCCTTAGGGGGTCAGCCAAACACTTCATACTAATTTGCGTCAGAATCTTGCTATATCTACAGAAAAAATTTAAAGAATTTGCTCTATCTATCCTCAATTGGGTCCTGCCCATCCCATTCAAAGGGGCCTAGACATACAATTTTCACAAAACCTCAATTAACTCAAGGATGCATCAGATCAAATTGAGGAAAAAATCCAATCATTTCTACAGGATGAGTAGGATTTTAAAGAATTTGCTCTATTTCCAATATTGGGCCCCGCCTCTCTGGCCCAAGGGGGGCAGTACCTAGCATTTATACAAAACTTATTCTCCAAAAGAAATTTTCATACCAAGTTTGTGCAAAATCTTATCTTTCTGACTTAGAAGGATTTCAAGAAATTTGCTCAATAACCCCTTTTTGGTCCAGCCCCTTTGCAATGAAGGTCTTCAAATTACCATTTCTACAAAATTGATTCCCACTCACCAAGAATGCTTCAAACGTTTTTAGGTAAAATCTAATCTTTTCCTACAGGAGGAGTAAGATTTTAAAGAATTTGCTCTATTTTCCCAATTGGGCCCAACCCCCTCAGACCCAAAAATGTCCAAGACTCATCATTTATACATAATTTACCCCGCTTTCCACAAGGATACTTCTGACCAAATTAGGTCAAAATCTGCTCTGTTGTTCAATACTAGTAGCAATCTCTAGAAAAAGTCGCAGAATGAAAACAAATTCCAGCAGTCCTTCAGACCAGGTGAGCTAAAAATAACCTGAATGTTGTTTTGTATGTGTACAATGTATGTTATTATAATTACTTTCTAAATGCTACCTGTCTAGCACTGTATCAAATGTTAATTATATGGTCTTTATGTACACAAGTTGAATATTGGCACAAGGATTTATTCACCATTTCAGTTTTTTTTTTTTTTTTTTTGGATACACAACACACAAAACTTATAAACTGACAATATGCTAATTAACAAGAAACGTTTATACAGCTGGAGTATCACATAAACAGAAATTGATACATATGTATATGTTATTGTAGTTTTAGAGTGCCATTAAAGGACTATAATCTGCAGACTAAACAAAACCTACAACTTACATATACATATTCATATTTGAGTCTCCATTGCAATAAATAGAGATTTTTGAGCGATAAAAGGAAGTAATTTAGGAGCAAATATTTCATAATTCCAAGAAAATACCAGCTAGACCTGACATGTCTACATTTCCCTGTGAATTTGTTATGACTCATAACAGTTAAACATCATGTCCAGATATGTTACATTTGAAATATAGAATATTTTGTATAATTATTCTTCACTAAAATTTTGTGAAATGAGAAAGCACCCTGTGTTTACCTCTGAGCTATAAATACCCATTGACGTCCACCCTATGACTCAACAAACATCTTGAATAAACTTGTGTTGAAAACAGGTAATACTTTACAAATAACAATTATTCTATGTATACATGTAATAATCAGTGTCACAAACCTTTTGTCTTACATGAAGGTTTTATGTGGTTGTAAATTCAAACAGGAATCGGTAGTCACACATGACAGCTATACTGTATAGTACCTATGTCCACAAATTAGAATAAAACTGTAGATCAGATTTTAAATGCCAACAGCTCTGTTAAACTCAGTCTGTAGGATACTGATTATGTAATCTAAAACCATTAAAGGCTGTCTGCTTTAAAGTAGCTCATGGAGCGTAAATAAAAAGAAGTCTCCATTGGAAAAAAATTAACAGAGATCTTATATCTGCCTTGACTTTTTCTTAAAAAGATTCCACTCTTTAGACATAACATTGTATTACACCACAGCTAGTATATTGTAGTTAAAAGGTGTTACAATATATACACTCTTTAAGTTAATATCAGTAATATTTGTAGGTTTTTTCGGTTAGAGTTTTGAAGAGTACCAATATTATGAGATTTAAAGGTTCTCAAAATTTGTGAGAGTTCCACTGGAAAAGCATTGTGGTCCCAAAATCACTAAATACTACCATAATCATCAAATAAATAGACATCCAAATACGAAAAACAATGTCATGACATTTTTATTCTATAACATTTTCTGAAAAAAAATGAACCACTAAGTCCTGTATGAAACCTACATTTTCATTAGACAATTTTTATGTTAACACCTCATAACATTAAAATATTGATGTTATTTTGTATTATCACATTTGATTTTCTGATAAGGCAGATCAATTACTTTAATGAAGAAAATAATCTATAGTTAATGTCAAAAACATTGCTATCTGTGATTAAATTACAAGGATTAACTATTTTCAGTTATTGAGTCATGACACCAAAAAGGGAGTGTGCTCTAAATAACATAAAAAATAAAGTTAATGCTGAAACATGATAACACAAAGCATAACAGTATTTCCTGCACCCTGTGTTTAAAAGAGACACATAATGTTACGAGTTTAATTTCTATTTGTTATTTTTTATTGTTCTTTACAAAGTATTGAAATGGTGAACTTCTACTGGAGTACTAGCTTGATGCCTTTACAAAGTTTTGAGTACTGAGTAATTACCTGAAACGGTTTAAGCGAAGTGGTCTGAAAAACTGAACTTTGTGATTTGGTCCATGTGTTTCCATACTAACAGAAAAAGCATTTAAATGGAGAATTTCCCCATAGCAAAAGATACTAATAGCCAAGGGTCACCCTGAACCAAAATTAGAGCTTAATAAGAGTGAAAAGATTTGAGCATTTATCTTGAACAGTTTCTGAGCACCAGTCCAGAAAAACTGTAACAGAAAAAATTAGGGTATTTACCTAACATGTACAGAAAGTTTTGTCGAGTTGAGTGGAAGTTTCAAAGTTGTAGCCCAGAAAGGAAAGTTATCACTAATTTTGTGTTTCCAAGGTAACAGAAAAAATATAAAAAAAAAGAATTGTTATCAATAGCAAAATGCACAACAAGGGCACTAATTTAATATTTACAGTAAGTTTTGTGAAGTTGAGTTGAATAGTTTTGAAGTGATAGCCTGGAAATGCCTTCAGACTGATGGATGGACGGACTGAAAGTCCAATGCATGCATGGAGCCCAAATTAATATCTTTCGCAAACATGACTGGCAAGCGATAATGATAATTTGTAGTGAAAATAAAACCGACTAATTAGTAAACAAATTAAACAGGAAATGTTTTGTAACTTATCAAGACATTGATTTCTTAAAGACTCTAACATTAATTAATATAGCAAAGTGTGATATTATATCTTAGTTGATTGTCTTGAATCCTCACATTCTATCCAAAAGTACTTTGGGGTTTTTGGAATGTGATATTTTCCATTAACTATGATAAGATGAATGAGTATAAACCATTTTATAACATCCAGATTCTTACTTTTAAAAGCTCCAAATAATTCACAGCACACTTATTTGCTTTTAGAGCTACACGTATAAGCAATTTTCAATACTTCACTGAATCTTTCGCTTTTAAGCTTTGCTAACTGACTTCAATGAATAAATGTTACCTATATATAACAAATATGGTGCAACTGTCCCAAACTTGTCCATTGCAAAACTGATTTAAACCGAACAAAATGCCAATGTGCATAATGATGATGTTGACTTTATTTAAATAATTAAACACCTTCCCATTAGCAATGCCATTAAATTCAAAATACCAAACCATTTTTGTGTCTAAAATGATTCAAA